CCTATGGGGAAATTTGCGTCGGGTTACGACCAACTCGGGATATGCCCAGAGTCACGGAACAGATTAAGTTCGTATCCTGAGGTACCACTATATTTTTTAAAAAAAGATCAACCACTTATACATCCCTTAACAGTGTCAAGAATGTGGACTGTATATTGCAAGAAATAGAATGTGACATGTTTTTATCCTGCTGCATAACTAAGCCTAAGGAGGTATTAGTTGTGTATTTGCTCAGCCAACTTTTTTTGTTTTGTATACTCCCCTTTAACACCTTAAGATTGTAAATGACTGGAATTCATCTCCTTTTTGAGTCTGTATTGTCACATGAAGCATCATATATCCAAAAACCTAGGGTCAAACTGCCAACTGAACATGTATTGAGTTTACATTTTGTTTTTATCACTATTTTAAATTTAAAGAAGACATGGAGAAAAATGGAATCCGGGACAAATGATCAGAGAACATATTCATGAAAAAGGAGGGTATGAACGATACTAAAATAAGCTAAGCCCTATTTAATTGGCTTCTTCATTTGGGATTTTTATCTTGTTTGAGGATTTTCATCTGGCCGGAAGCCTTAAACTTCATTAAAAACGAAATCTGAGATTTTCAGTTTGTGTCCTTTTATTAAACTAGAGCAGCAAGAACACTCAAAAGTGTAGGGTATCGCCTAGCCAGAGTTAAATGTTACAATGATCCATCTTAAATACTATACACAGAGAATTGAAACAGATATTTTGATGGAGACTAGGGAGGGCTAGATAAAACCTTCCAAGAACTCAGCTGACAATATATAATATATTGATATTGCCTATATAAAACAATAATATATTTATGGATTCCTGGGAGCATCCCCCTCTTTTCTGCCAGAATTCTCCAGCTTCTTCAGAGTTGCTTGTTCAATGTCTGGCATTTATCACTGCAGAGAGTTTTCCCTGACTTGAACTCCAGGACATGAAGGTTTTTATCCCAGATAAATACCAAGCTAATATCTCAAAGGTATTCTGTGTAGTATACAGTACTGCTTACCTGACTTTCCCAATCCAAGCTTTCTCTATAGGTAGTCCTTGGTTAACAACTCATTCAGCAACCATTCAAAGTTACAACAGCACTGAACGAGTGGTACTTATGACCAGTCCTCAAAGTTTTGGCTGTCCCAGCACCCCTGTGGTCACATGATCATGAATCAGGCACTTGGCAACTGGCTCACATGACGGTTGCATTATCCCACGGTCACATGATCGCCATTTGCAACCTTCCCTGCTGGCTTCCCACAAGCAAAGTCAATGGGGAAGCTGGCAGGGAAGGTCGCAAGTCGCTTGGCTAAGTCTCCCCCACCTGGCAGCAGCCAGCCCCACCGAACTGGCGCTGTACCAGCCACCCATGCACCCTTCCCCACCTGGCAGCAGCTACCCCCAGCCCTGCCATGCTCACCCAGCCACCTGTGCACCCTCACCCACCCAGCAGCCATGCTCGCATTGCGCCAGCCACCTGCGCAACCTTCCCCACCTGGCAGCAACCACTTACCTGCCCACCGGCCTGCTTGCAAGCCACCTGGAACTTGCAACTTCCTGCTGGCTTCCTCACTGACTTCGGTTGTTGGAAGCAGCAGGAAATTGCTAGGAGGTCCTCACTTAATGACCCCAATCCTCACTTACCGACAGCGGCAGGGACTGCTGGGATTGCTGTTGCTAAATGATGCGGTCGCATGACATTGCACTTTACAACCACATCACTTGGCGATGGAGATTCCAGTCCCAATTTCCATAGTTAACCAAGGACCACCTGTACTATCATACGTCACTATGGTATGGCTCATGATCAGTACAGCTTGTGGACACATGGTAGCTTAGCAATAATTCTTAGTTCTTAAGAGATTCTGCTTTAATGTTCTTGGCTTATCCATGGTTAGCCTTTAGGTTTTATTTCCACAGGCACCTAGCTAGGCAGAGGGTTGTGTGTGCATTTTGATGTGAGAAATTTTCCAGAACAGTTGTAATAATAACCCTCCTTCCAATAGTTCAGCCAATCTTACCTCTTAGTGAAGAGGACAGTGATAGCCACTGGTTCAACCACAGCCTACATGCAGATGGGCTAAGATGAACGGAATTCAAGCCACGGGTATAACACGCCTGCAAAAATCAGAGGTGTCCTTTTGAACGCAGCAAGATGCTTTCATTTCACATAGAATCCTTAAACCCAAGAAACAGCACTTCCAAGCACTGTGTTGGTGTTCTGTTCGTCACTGCGCTGCTTTGACATACAATGCTGTAGATCGGAGACACATTACCCTCAGTCTGCATACAGTCCCAAAGGTTTGGGGCTTGGCCTCTGGAATTTGACTGATATTTTTGATAGGGGCCAAAAATCTATACATCTAGGGTCACTGGGAGAATGAGCTAATCCCTCTAAGTGTGGCCGTTCGCCCACAGCATTAATCCCCCCCCCCCCCTCAGCTGCGAAGACAGATAGGCAGACTTCCCCCTCCCTTCTGCAGCATTCCTGCACAACTAAAAGCAACACAAAATAGTCCCCACAGGAGTCCATCTGGTGCCCACATTATGCTAAACTAATTTAAACCTGGTTTGTTAAATAAGCCATCAAATTATTGGTCACGGAAAGTCTATACTGCTTTTAAGACTGGTAAATTTGACCATTACTTATTTGTAAACTGCCCAGAGCCGATGAAGATTGAGGCAGCACATGAATAAATTATCAGTCCATAGTCAACAACAAAGCCCAAATGTTCATCTCATATGAATTTATCTTACCACTTGCACTTCTTCATCAGTCAGCTCGCTTACTCCTAGTTTCACCATTGCTTGATCCAGGTGATGCAGCTCAGATAGATGGCTCCTCAAGCGATTTCTCAGGAAGAAAGATGGCAAGCGGGGTGTCAGGAACAAAACACGACTGAGAACTTTCTGAGGAAAGCAAGGCAAAGATAACATTAAATGCACAAAGGCTTTCAGATCAAAATGTGGAATGAAGACTACCACAAGTCTCCATCTCCAAAAAATATTTAGCCCATGGACAAGGTAGCAAGGATGAACGATGATAGCAGAGGCATCCTGATTTAAATCCAAGCCATTGCTGAATATGGAATTTTAAGATTTGTAAGTGGGAAGAGATTTAGCTTCTTGGTTTTTCAAGCCTTTCAGCCACAGCACATGAGCAGAGAGGGCAATTGTTAGTAAGAGATTCATCATAAAGGGACAATTAGACTTTTAAGCAGCTATCCAGTTTCATCCCTTAAAAGACACCTACCACATGCTGAACCGTGAGCTGTTGGATACCAAAGGGATGCCCCACAAATAAAGTCCTCACAGCTTTAAGCTCTGTTACATCTGGGTGAAATCCTTCCTGGACCTTGAAGATTAAGAAAGAAACAAACGTGTTTCCCAAATATAAAGTAGGATCTGATCCTGTACACAACTACCCCAACTACCACAAGTGCTCACACATCCTCCCACCAGGCTCTTCTTCACCATGTGCCAAATTCTGTCTCATGGCATCAGGAGATGTGAATATTAAAGTACTTCCAACACCTTCCTACGACTGTCATCTGGTACCTCTGTACAATTGTACCATGTAAGACTAGATGCTACCAGAATTTGCTTATTTGTTTCTCCTCCCTATGATATATACTGAAATTATTTTATGAAGCATTATGAATGCATCTACAGTGTCTTTTCACCAGTGACAAACCATTAAATAACTGAAACATTCTTACATTTTTGCCTAGGTAAGATGAAGTATACAGGATGGTCTACTGATGCTGTCTATGACAGCAGACTCATCTGCATGCATATTAATGGAAAAATGTATCTTGTATAAGGACAATTTTTAAAAGCTCTGGCATACCCTTAAAAGTGTTTCATTATGCTTTAGAAAAGCTGCAGGGGACTGATTCTCTAGTTTTGCTCACATATTGTACTGAACCAAGATGTGGTTTATTTGTTGATAGTTTAGCACAATCTCTGAATCCAATTCCTGTGTTTTATGGCTTATTGCACAATCCAATTTAGTAAACCACAGTTAACCAAACAATGGTTTAGCATATGTGAACTATGCTGTGGCAAGAAAAACAATTAAAAGTTAATAAACTGAATACTAGTTAGGCAGCTCACAAAAAAGCAAAACTCTTATTTTTGAAGAATAACACATCACTTTAAAAAATCCAAAATTGCTTCTTTGTCACTGGAAGTTTTTGGAGAATGAGATACCTTTCTGCAGAGATATAACATCTGTTGGCGAAGCTGAGGATCATCTAGGAAGTGAGATAGATGCATTAGACCATCAATCACTTCAGCATATGCCTCCCTCCTCATATTGTGGTAAGTGTTCAGAAACTCAGCTTGTTGTTTAGGAGTCCAGAAGTGGCGTACTAAGAGCTGTCTTGGGAATAAATACCTTGGGAAGGAGAGATTGTTTGGAAGAAATGACTTACTTCTAAACCAAGACATGCACCAATAAACACAAATTCAGGAACGTATTATACATTAACAGTCAAATCTAGGCCAAGGAAACCCAAATATTGCATCAAGAAATGGATTTTACAGCTTCCATCAATAGTATAAGCTTTTACTTAAGATAATTTCCACTAAGGGGAGAAGAAAACAGCAGTCTGGCAATTGTAACCATAGGCCCTGACAACCAGAAATCCTGTGGAACTCTTCTTTTGGAAATTTAGCCAGGTCTTGCCCACACACTTTCAAGTTATCTTCATAGTGCTGCTGAAAACCTACTTAAGAAAAAGAAATACGATGTCTTACTTTCTCAACATATTCAATAAAGCTTCTTCCATTGTATAGAATCTGACCTGGCAATACAAATAACCTTCTGAAACCTGGTTCCTCTGTCTTCAGGAAGGCTACTCGGGAAATTCCTGTCTTTGGAATTCTCCCCCCAGAAGCCATAATTTAGGTGCCAGGCCAGATTTACCTTGATGATTCAATTAATAGCAAAAGTGATTCTTATTCGTATCATGTTCTGCTTTGCTGTTTTACTACCGCTTGTTTTCCAATGTATTTATACTTTCAGTATTGTTTGTAAGCCATCTTGCACGCATGAAAAGTGGGCGGAAGGTTAAATAAATACACCAGTTCTGTACTTGTGCAGTGCCACATATCCCATATCCTATGCTGAGCAGCCACAGGTTTTATCAATAGACAGAGTGGCCTTTAATCATATTTTACTCCAAATCTGGTACAGCTAATCATCTTTACATCCTGCTCCTTCTCTGAAAAAGAGAAGTTACAATGTTTTGCAAGGCCAAAGTACCTTGCCATCCAGCCATATTGGGCTGATAAAAGTGAGAACAAATGAACCCTATTCATGCCTCTGGTATCTAACATTTCCAAAACAGTTTTTAAAAAAAGATCATGAAGAAACAGGGCAGGAGAAATGCCTGTCAAGACAGTGCTTTTGGCAACACAATTTTTTTCTGTTAAGCATTTCCCAAATCATCAGAATTGTCCTTTTTTAAAAAGTGAGCATTTTAAAGCATTTAGCAATTATGTCAGAAAACAGGTGAGAAGGCAAAAGGGCTGTATTCCAAATTACTCTCCAGAAATGGTACAAAAAGTATGACTATTAATTATTTATAGTCTCAGCAGCAGGGTATATATAAGAATGTGGGATTATAACTAGCCAAATGCACAGATTGAAAATACTTAAGTTTGAACATTTTTATGATTTCTAAAATATGTTCTACAATTTATTTTTGTAGCCGCTAAAATATGGACTATCCTGTAACAATCCTACTCTACAAGCCAGCAATAATGCATGTAAATGATGAGAGAAAAGTCCACTCCTGTCACCTGACCCTGCCAAAATTCCCAGTCATGTGCTTATAAAAAGCTAAATACCCTCTTGAGTCAAGCTCATGTCCATATATTTTTCTTGACAACCATACAGAAATAGTTTGCCACTGACTTCTTTTAGAATCTTGTTTCAACTTGCCTTCTACTCTTTACCTTGGGAATTTCTGGAAATCTCTAATCCCAGTTCTAACTTTCCCAGTAAAGCTTAAGGATGCTTCATCTAGGTAGAGACAAGGATCTACTTACATAAACAAAAGAACGAAATAGTTGGCGAAGGGTGGAAGAGAGAGAATCCCAACAGGAATGGCTTTAATAAGGTCTCTGCGAAACTACAAAAACAATGCATGGTTACTATTATTGTTAATTGCTAGAGACCCCCTTAACCAGCTATTACAATTGGTCATTTTTAGCTCTTTAGCCTTTTAAGTTATTATCATTCCTTTACAAACTTCTACTTTATACCACACTATTATAGTTGTTATAGTTACAATACTGATATTAAATATAATTTACCTCTAGATTTTTGTCTTTAAAAACTTAAACTCTTAGTGGTACTGGTATCATTATTTTACCGTTTGTGCTAGTGATCTAAATTTTAGTCAATTCTTATAGTATGTAGGTTAGACCAGGGGTCCCCAAACTTCAGCTCATTGATCCCTTCATGAAGTTTCAGATTGTTCATTGACTCCCAAACATTTATTATATGAAAATAATTTAATACTATAGTACTGCGAATAACAACAACAACAACAGAGACAACTCAAGGCTGCCCTCACTGGTGGCTGACCATCTAATCCTGGGTAATACTGTCTTGCTGCTAAGCCACCTCACCTTCAGGACTAGGGAATGGTGTGGAGCTCTACAGAGACCCCAAAAGATTAATTGACCCCAATCGACCTTACATCATTTATCGACCACCTATTGACCCCCAGCCATTTACTGACCCCCTTTTGGCCCTCAGCCATTTATCAACCTCTTGGATAGCCCCAGCAACCCTTGGGGATCAATACTGACCACTTTGGGGAACCCTGGATTAGACTGTTAACACAATGGGATGTCTATAATTTTATTCTTGAGTGTTATGTTATGCTGGGTGATGACTGAAATAAAGAGACTACTTACTTCTACTGCATAGGTATTAAGGTTACAATACTCAAATGTGAAAGGACTACAAGTAGGATAAAGAGAAGATGAAAGGACTGTAAACTGGACTTCCAGGAGGCATGGCGAACTGAAGATGTCTCCGTGGCAAAGACTGAAGACCTGGTGAGCAGACAGTTCTTCGGAACCTCTCCAGACAAGGAGAGGACAGGAGATTGCCTACGTGTGCTCCAGATGACTGCTCCTCACAAGGAGACCACAGGACAGTAGTCTTCTTTGGGTTGAGTGCTGGGAGATGAAGGGATTAGCCATCTTGCTTGCAACCGCAGCAGAGCCTTTTAAAGGACACTAAGTTCACAAGCCTCTAATCCCTTTCGGAAATTGTCTATTAATCATCTTAAAGCCATTAGAGCCCTTCAGAATGACAAGTTTGAAAAGTCACCTGGTGAGTTTAGCTTCAACCCCGAACAAAAGAAAAATTAATTATAAGCTTAAGAACGCAAAGAATTTGAAATAAACAGCAAGAAGCTAAATAAGATTTTGATCTAAGAAAGTTATAAATGGATTAAGGATCCAGTTAAATCTGGAATATTGACTTTTACTATAAGATTTTGGAATTAACTATAAAAAATAAATAACTTCTTGTGGGAACCAGATTTATTTTGGCTATCTTAGGTTATTGTAAGTCATAAAGGTAAGCAACTTTATGATTTTAGAAACTGGACACTAGAGGGGACTAAAGATTCTAAGTGGAAGGAAAAAAAATACAAGCCTGCTTTTGGTGTTGTTTAGTACTCGGACTTACAAAATGACACAAAACATCATAACATTGGAAATATTAAAGGAGATCTTTGAAGAATGGAGCCAGAAATCAGTAGCTACAATATCAACAGTGTCAGTAACAATGTCTGACTCTATGGATAGACTGTGTCCAAAAGATGTTAATGAGGGAATGATAGATGTGGAGCAAATCTTGTCTGACAAGACAGAGAAAGTACTGTAAGTGGAACTACAAATGACAGGCTGAGATAATGATTTGAAAAAGGACAAAAGAAACTTGCTGAGGTTTTAAAAATTAAAGGGGAAATACAAATGACAAACCAAGAGAATGACCTGGATAAAGTTTTCTTATTGGATCTACAAAAGAGGCTTGTTAAAGCCTTGAACAAGTCTGTGCAATGGGATAAAGAAGAAATGAAATCAAATCCTATGACAATATTTGAATGAACTAAAGATTAAGACTGTTAGAAATAAAAGAAGGGAATATAAAGTTGGTTTATTTGATCAAGGTTAAAATAAGACCTTTTTTTGCAAAGTTCTGGCAACCCTTTATGGACTTTTTGCTGACATCAGGATTGAAAAGTTGGTGTTTTATGGATTTGCTTATAGATAAGGGATGGGATATGGGGTGAAGAGTTACTAAATCTATCTGTGCTTGTTGTAATGAAGGTTGGAAGTCACTTTATATATTCTTTTTCTTTTTCTTTATTATATGCCTTCTGTTCTCTTTTTTTTTCTTGCACTTTTTATTCTTTCTATTCTTTTTTCTTTCTTTAAGTTTAGTTTGTATTTGTTTTTACTATTGTAATAAAAAGAATTAATCCAAAAATATTATGTATGAAAGAAAGAAGAAAGGACTGAGAATTATCACTTACTGCCTCCAGGTATTCTTTGCAGGGTAGGTGACATCTGAGAGGCCAGGAGCCACAATCCTGGAAGGATGCAGAAGGCCTTCCAGTGACATGTCCATGGAAAAGGCAGGGGCTAGTTTTCTGGTTTGTTTCTTTTTAGAGTCTTAAACCCCTCCAGAGGAAGTCAGTTTTTTGACAGGAGCGGGGGCGGGGGGGTTGTTTAAGGATGGGAATGGAGCATAACACCTTGCAGTGACCTTCCTTTCCTATTCACACCCTTAATTTTAGAGACAAAATTTGCCGCCAAAACTTGACAATTTTCAGGAAATGGAGCACAGTCTCAGCTGTCAGGCCACTTAGGATAGCAATTCAGTCCCTTAGTTCATCTCTTTAATAATTACGGATCCCATAGCTTCCCATCTGAAAATATGCATTAAAATAGCTCAATTAACAAACTTCCCTTTGCACAGGGGAATTACAGTTCACAGTAAAAACTTAGATCTAGGGCCAATGACTGATAATAGTTTTTTTACTTAAAGTTGAATCCAGAAAAGTTCCTCTGGATCCAAATCATTCACTTTTCAAAATCACCATCAACTGTAATACACCAATTTATGATATACTATTCTTGTATTACAAGATGTTACTACATATTACAAGCGCAGGCAGTAATAAAATATATTCCAGCATTATCCACCATTGTGAAAATAGCCTCCTACGTACCATTCTTTGTCTTCCATAGATTAAAAATAAAGCTGTATATATCCTAGACAATTATGACTTCAACTTATAAAAAATCAGAGAGCAGTAACAGCTATATTCTATATATTTCAGCTGTGCAGCATCGGACTAACACTAATGCAAAAGCAAACGTGTCTTGGCACAGTTTTTCTGTTGAAGTGTTAAGTTTTGGAATGTGTATGCTTGCTAAGTACTATGTACAAGCCAGCAGCAATTTTAGGAATTGTGGCCTACACCCAACCTTGCTCTGTCAACATCTGCCCTACAGCTACCCAAGTGATAAACTGTGGGAAACTGATAACCTCAATATAATTGTCACAGAATCTCGTATTGCAGTACTACACACCATGCTGGACAGAAGCAGCCAAGATTTCAATATTATATTTACAGTTTCAAATTAAGTAAAGCTCTAGGAAGCCAACAGATTTTGAAGTTTTATTTGAAGTCCACTCAGGAAAGATTTTGCCTTCAGAGTTCCAGCTTTTGCTCCAAGCTAGTACAGGGTCCTTCTTTTCAGGCCTACAGTAAATATTATTTTTAAAACCTATAAAAGATTTTCCTTGAACATTTGAAAATCAGGTTTTGTAATCTCTACAAGCAAAAACCTCAGAGAAAACCCTTAAGTAATTAAGCTTACAGCTATTTAACTCCAAATTGTCATAAGGTTTTACACTTTGTGGAATGTATCTTAAACAAAGTACAGTTGCAAGAAAAAGTATGTGAACATTTCAAAGGGTGAAAAAACAATTCTGATCCTTCATGTCTTTATTGAGAACAACCATAAAAACCTCATAGTGCTAGT